ACATGCTGTTGAATTTTGCAACATTTGGCCAACCATATTTTGAACACTTGAACAGCGTAGTGGCGTTTGCGAATATTCTTTAAATTGGTATTTTCCCCTCCCGCTTTAGAATGTCAGTATTGAAAGGCGCTCATTCCCTGAGCCTTTTTCCTCCTTGTTTTGGTGTCTTTTCTTTTTGATCGCAAGAAAGGAGTTTGTTTTGCAGACCTTTGTGTGTTAGACTTTGTAGCCTCTCTTGAAGTGGCCCCGAGGATGAATGCACATAATTTGGATTGACTTCTGATTGCTAAGCCCACACAATAACTTTTACCCATCAGTAGTGTTCGAAGTTTTCTCAGTAGCGTGAGATTTCGTCCTTAAAGGTCTTCAGTGTCAGTTTAAAATTTTCACTTTTGAAATCTTTGAGTATGGGTGAAAAATCAGGTTTGATTGTGTAATTTTTTTGGATGAGGTTTTGAGAGTGGGCTTTTGAGTTTGGGATGTCCAGGAAATTCCATCTTCGGATCATCACCGTCATCATCAGCGCATCATGGTTGGCTTTGATCCAAGAGGTACAACAACAAGGATACCCAAACACAATCTGGAGGAAGAACAATGAATACCCAAACACAGTCCAGAAGAAAATCAATGGATACCCAAACAGCACAATCCAGAGGAAGATCAACATCAATACCTAAACACAGTTCAGGGACCGGTTGTAAGAAGGGTGAATAGCGCTATCCGATGGATATATCCTTATCCATTGGATAAAGTGAAGCTGTTATCAAATAAATTTATCCAGTGGATAAGGTTGCATAGGATCTATCTAGCCTTCGTACAATCGGACCCAAAGGAACATCAACATGGATACCCAAACACAGTCCAAAGGAAAATCAATATAAATACCCAAACACAATCCAGATGAAGATCAATGGATACCCAAACACAATCCAGAGGAAGATCAGCATAAATACCTAAAGGCAGTCCAGATGAAGATCAATGGATACCCAAACACAATCCAGACGAAGATCAACATGGATACCCGAAAGCAGTCTAGAGGAACATCAACATGGATAGCTAAACACAGTCCAGCCGTTAATGTATTTGGAATTTGCCAGGAAGAGGGATAAAGGTTTCCATACGTATACATGACTGTTCAATGCGAGACCAATGTAAATACCTAATAAAAATAGATTCTAACCGTTCTTAACTGAGTACTGAGTGAGGAACGGCAACTATCAAATTATAAAGTCAACAAATAACGAAGATACCCAAAAACATTCCACAAGATCAACATGGATACCCAAACACAGTCCACTATAAGAGGAAGATCAACATGTATAGCCAAACACAGTCCAGAGGAAGATCAACATAAATACCCAAATACAATCCAGAGGAAGATAAATGGATACCCAAGCGCAGCCCAGAGGAAGATCCACATAAATGCCCAAACACAGTCCAGAGGAATAATGAACACCTCAGTTATGAATTACCATTGTTGATAAGGAGCTAGTTCTCCCAGGTATATTTTTAGCTTTTTCCCGCCGTCGGCAAACGTTGCATAAAAATAGGCTTTTTTGCTGGTGAATTTGTGCATTTGTCCAAGAACACCACACTCCATAATCACGTGGTATATTTCAGGACTTTGGATAACACCATCAATATAAAGACTCTTGTCGTACACAGATAGGTTTTGAAGAGGATGACCATTAAGTTGTCCAGTTTGGATTTTGACGATGAACCTTCGCTTGCTCTTTGGGTCTGGCTTTGGCCCCTTTCCAATTCCTTTTAAATGTGGACCAAAAGTTCTGATACTAAAGCACTTAGAMGTTAAAAACTTCCTAATTGGTTCCACAGTTACTGAATACTGATCTTTTAAAGCAGAACACAAAGCTCTGTGTTTTTCCCAGTGTCTTTTCTGACAGGTTGAGTTGCAGTACTGTGCTATATTACATCTGGAACATCTTTGAAGATTCTTGGAGCTACGGCAGAAAGCACATTGGCTTTGAACTGATTCTATCTTTTCCTTTGGGTGAAAAGCTTTGTCTTTGTTGTTCCTTATTTCGTTACCTTCCACAGTCGGAGGTAACGTATAAATTCGTGTCTCACCTTCTGGGAGATAAAAAAGGCCTTCGGTAGCATCGGGGTTTGAACTGGCCATTGAACCTGGTAGAGAACAAGAATTATCTCCATGTAAAATCCAAGGACCACTATGATCTCTAACAACATTTGACTTGATAACGATACGACCTGAGAAGTTGACACCGATACTAATGCCACCACACTTGTTGCTGTAAATATCGTTGTTCTCCACGATGGCTGTGGTCAAGGTCTTGGCGTTGATGCCATAGAAATTATTCTCAAATATCTCGTTTCCCTTGACTTCTACTTGACAACTCTCTAAGGAAATTCCAAAGGCAAGGTTGTGGTAGATCCGATTGCTGTTGACTACGACTTGATCCTTTGTGCGAACAACTATGATTCCTTCCCTGCTGTTCTCGAATATTTTGTTGTTGACAAGTTTGCATTCACCAGCAAACGGACCAATCAAAATGCCATGGTATCTATTAGCATAGATATCATTGTCAATAGCAACAAGACGACCACCTTCACGAGCTTCAAGTCCAGCCATTCCATTCCTGGACACTCGACAAGATTTCACTGTCAGACTAGACCCATTCCCRTTGCAAAGGATTCCACCTCCACCGCAATCTGATATCTCGCAGTTCTCTATATGGCCAGTGCTTCCTCCTGTGATACAGATACTTGAATTGCCAACAATACCAGATTGTTCGCGATGGTCACCAAATTTACCAGTTCGGTCACACGGCTTGGGAGCAACACATCCAGGTCCGCCATTACAATCTGGAAAATCTTTACAGCCCCGAAGGCCACCAGATACCTGGCAGTTAAAAAGATTCATCGATCCTTTGAATTGGCACATTATTTCTCCGTCTTTTGCAAAAAGTATGCCTTCAGCGTAAAAGCTTGAAAACAATATCAGTAACGGCTGAAATTTTAAAATAACGTCTTTGCTGAGAGCAACAAGTTGTACGTCTTTAAGTATAGTTGTTTCATGCAACTCGTAATATCCTTCGTGAAGAAGTAATGTTATACCGGGGAAAGAATGCATTGATGTTCTAGCTAGCTGCAAGGGATTTAATATTTCTTCAAATATAAGACTTGGAAACATCTCCTTGAAGTGTTTTCCATCCGTGGCTGCTGGATCCACATATGCCGCAAAAGCAGCAGCTGCTCTCACCCTTCCTTTCAACTTTTCTCCTTGTGTTTTGGAAATCTCGTACAAAGCCCATGCTTTTCTCATCAATGCTTTACCATTCCTTTCCTCCAACTTTAGACACAGCTCACAGTCAAGTAACGCTTCCTCTGGTTTCCCTAGCATCAATTTGCAATGAGCTCGATTGTTGTACAGTCGAGGATCATCCTTGTTATATTCTATTGCTTCAGTGTAAATATTGATTGCCTGGTCGTAGTTCTGCAATCTAACAGCATCGTTACCCTTTTCCCTCAACTGGTTTGCCTTTTGAACATTGTCCTCTGTATTCTCGGAAGAACTTCTTACATCTTCATCTATAGAAAGAGRTTTCTCCTGGTTCGCCATACAGTGGGATATTAGCTTGAATTGAACGCTTTTCAACGGAATATCAAAATATCTAAAGTGATCTAGTCTTTCACTRSAMAGTTCCTCTAAYTGTGTGATCACCTTTAATTTAGAAGCTTGAAGTTCCATTGCTTCAACTTTCTGATGACAAACGCTGTAATACAGCGAGGCCTCGTTGAGAAGCATAGCAGACTCTTCCGTGTAAAGTACTTCTTGTNTTGGAGCTACGGCAGAAAGCACATTGGCTTTGAACTGATTCTATCTTTTCCTTTGGGTGAAAAGCTTTGTCTTTGTTGTTCCTTATTTCGTTACCTTCCACAGTCGGAGGTAACGTATAAATTCGTGTCTCACCTTCTGGGAGATAAAAAAGGCCTTCGGTAGCATCGGGGTTTGAACTGGCCATTGAACCTGGTAGAGAACAAGAATTATCTCCATGTAAAATCCAAGGACCACTATGATCTCTAACAACATTTGACTTGATAACGATACGACCTGAGAAGTTGACACCGATACTAATGCCACCACACTTGTTGCTGTAAATATCGTTGTTCTCCACGATGGCTGTGGTCAAGGTCTTGGCGTTGATGCCATAGAAATTATTCTCAAATATYTCGTTTCCCTTGACTTCTACTTGACAACTCTCTAAGGAAATTCCAAAGGCAAGGTTGTGGTAGATCCGATTGCTGTTGACTACAACTTGATCCTTTGTGCGAATAACAAAGATCCCTTCTTGGAAGTTCTCGTATATTCTGTTACTGATAACCTTGCATTCGCCAGCAGACGGACCAATCAAAACGCCATGGYATCTATTAGCATAGATATCATTGTCAATAGCAACAAGACGACCACCTTCACGAGCTTCAAGTCCAGCCATTCCATTCCTGTTCACTCGACAGGATTTCACTGTCAGACTAGACCCATCCCCTTGAYACAGGATTCCTCCTCCACCACAATCTGTTATCTCGCAGTTCTCTATATGGCCAGTGCTTCCTTCTGTGATACAGATACTTGGACTGCCGCCAATACCAGATTTTTCGCCGAGATGGTCACCAAATTTACCAGTTCGGTCACATGGCTTGTGGCCAGCGAGCTTGGAAGCAACACATCCAGGTCCGCCATTACAATCTGGAAAATCTTTACAGCCCCGAAAGCCACCAGATACCTGGCAGTTAAAGAGATTCATCGTTCCCTTGAATTGGCACATTATTCCTCCACTTTCTTTTGCAAAAACTATGCCTTCAGCGTAAAACCTTGAAAACAATATGGGTAACGCCTGAAATTTCACAATAACACCTTTGCTGAGAGCAACAAATTGTAGGTCTTTATCGATAGTTGTTCCATGCAACTCGTAATATCCTTCATGAAGAAGTAATGTTATGCCGGGGAGAGAAAGCATAAATGATCCTGCTAACTGCAAGGGATTGAAGATTTCTTCAAATATGAGATTTGGAAACATCTCCTTGAATCGTTTTCCATTCCTGGCTGTTGGATCCACATATGCCGCAAAAGCAGCAGCTGCTCTCATCTTTCCTTTCAGCTTTTCTCCTTGTGTTTTAGAAATCTCGTACAAAGCCCAKGCTTTTCTCATCAATGCTTTACCATTCCTTTCCTCCAACTTTAGACACAGCTCACAGTCAAGTAACGCTTCCTCTGGTTTCTCTAGCATCAATTTGCAATGAGCTCGATTGTTGTACAGTCGAGGATCATCCTTGTTATATTCTATTGCTTCAGTGTAAATATTGATTGCCTGGTCGTAGTTTTGTTGTCTAACAGCATCGTTACCCTTTTCCCTCAACTGGTTTGCCTTTTGAACATTGTCCTCTGTATTCTCGGAAGAACTTCTTACATCTTCATCTATAGAAAGAGRTTTCTCCTGGTTCGCCATACAGTGGGATATTAGCTTGAATTGAACGCTTTTCAACGGAATATCAAAATATCTAAAGTGATCTAGTCTTTCACTRSAMAGTTCCTCTAAYTGTGTGATCACCTTTAATTTAGAAGCTTGAAGTTCCATTGCTTCAACTTTCTGATGACAAACGCTGTAATACAGCGAGGCCTCGTTGAGAAGCATAGCAGACTCTTCCGTGTAAAGTACTTCTTGTYGAAGCGCATCATTCKTCTGAGAATTCTGGATCATGTATTTCTGCAAKACRGAAGCATGAGCACCAAGTTTCCCCCATAAATGTAATGAAGGGAGATTCTYTTGGCTGAAAACGGAATCGCCTTCAAAACTTTTACAAACWTCAAACGGTGACGTAGCGTTATSRAACGCATAACAMAGCATCCTACAAGCAYACWGGAGGACATCTTTCAGGTGTTCTTGGCTGATTCYACTTCTRATCACTTCTTGCACAAGTCTATGGACACTGAAGGAGTTATCTGTGAATGTCTGGAACAGCGAGAACTTGGTCAASACACTCACTATGTMAGTGACTCCAAATGATGYGGAAAGACACTTTATAAAATCTTCATTATCTACTGGAGGCAAGCCTTGGTTGATGATCTCTCGTGGGATATCATCTGGCGACAGGAACGCGGACACCTCCATAACAAGAGCTGCTGCCTGACCAATACCATATTCTTCGGACAGCCTAGACACATATTCAAAGTTTAACTGCCATGTGGTATGCACAGCAATCCTGTCCTTGGACGTGTCATCTTGGACTGGACGGTGAGCTTTAGATTTCTTTAATATCTKCAACTTCTGCTTTTTATACTCATCTAAGTATTGGACGAATGATATTTCCTTCTYGTTCTTGATAAAGGCTGCAGCTTGGTCCAGAGCCAGAGGAAGGGTTCCCAACTCTACAACCAACTCAAGAATCACTGCGTCATCTTGASTGCCTGTTCTACCAGTTCTCATCTTGATAAACTCAATGCTTTCAGCTTCTGAAAGATTTTTTAACTCAATGCAGCTTTCTTTTGAAAAATCACAAATATCTTCTTCTAGCAGATTTTTCTCTCTTCTTGTAGTAATTATAATATGTCCTTTAGCTTGTCGTTTCCAGTGACCGCCAATAAGCTTCAACATTTCAGTTGAAAGCTCAAGTTCGTCCAGGTTGTCGATCACCAGACACCAGTACTGTTTTCTTTGCTGTAGCCAACTTATTGTTTTTGACAATGTTTCTTGAAAATCTTCATCAAACGTCCCAATCTGCCGAGCCATTTCCCTCATTGAAMGATTAAACAGACTATTACTTTCACCTGATATCCAGAACACACCACCACTGTAGACATCTTTGTTCCTCCAAATGTGTTCAATAGCAAGWGAGGTTTTGCCAGTTCCACCAAGTCCATACACAGCTGTCATACTGCATGGAGCAGTTTTCTTCACTAATGGCTGGTTTAGAATTTCCAGCTCATCAACACGACCATGGAAACACGGGATACGATTGGGAGCTTCAAAAGTAATAACTGCTTCTTGACTGCTTCTTGTTTCTATTGCAGTTTCCAAGACCTCAACCCTTTTTTCTAGGCAAGCATGCTTTTCGTCTCCTTCGTCTACTCTTTTTGTTAGTGTGTCTTGGTTCTTCTCTATACTGTCAACTTTTACAGTAAGATTTTCTTGATCATCTTTTAAACAGCCTACAGTCTCAGCAATAGCAGATGTGCTATCAACCACTTCGTCTACTCTTCGGCTGATAATTTCCTGAGATTCTTTCAAAGACTCAATCTCTTGTTTGTATTCTTCAAGGGCTTCGTGGACACTTTGCAAGCCATTGCTTACTCTAAGGGCTTCATCTGCTTGGCTTTTTGCAAGAAGTTTTACATTTTCATTCAGCTGGGCAACTTCTGTCTCGATAAACTTGACCAGATCTGCGTCCACGATGTTACCCATACAAAGTTGTAAACCTGGAAATGAAGCAACATTTAGTAAACAATGCTTGGGGGGGGGGGGGGGGAATTTAGGAATAACCCTGTTTATCCATACCTTTTGTTTCCCAGTCTTGTAGCTGATCAGTTATTCGCTTCTCTTCAGCTTTAGACAAGTTTAGAGCTCGTACAAGTGACTCCATCTGTTGGAAGCACTTTGCAAACTTTGTTCCATTCCAGTGCCCAAAGTTACAATGTGCCCATTCGTTCCTGACGTCTTTCCGGACATCACTGGATGACAGTTGAACTGCAGTAGAAAATACACTAGCAGAAGAGAGAATACCAAGTACTGCAGATAAATCACAAGTATCGTCAAAACCTGTCAAAAGACGGGAAAAAACAAATAGAAAGTTAAATAGGTCAGAATCATTTACTCTTCTTCAACCCATCAGTGAAATAATGTATCACTACCAACCTCTTATTTCATGCGTTCAAAGGTGAGGAGAGGCTTCTTGTCAGTATTGCCCTTGTTTTTAAATCTATACGCTAGATAGACATATAATTATTTACCTGTGAATTTAGCCATGAAAGGCTGCAAGTACAGCTTAGCCAAGTCAACTGCAGATTTGACATCGTAGTCGTAAAGATTGGTTTTCTTCCTGTGTGTTACTTCATTGTTGTTGATGCTGCCATAATTCAAACTGTTGCACTTTCCATCTTTAAGTAAGTGTTTTGCGTGATTTTGCTTGTCAATATTTTGGGTAGTTCTCAGATGAGTGTAATGCTTGATCATTTCTGGTTCAACGAAATCTCGTAAAGCTGGTAGGAGGACTTTGTTGAGACAAATACCAGTTACAAGCCATCTTTTCTGATCATCTCCCAAGTTAAAGGAAGCAGATGAGCCTATATCATAACCAATAAGTTTTCTAGTTAACCCCCAGCCATTTTATGTTGTTATTTAAAAACAGGTATAAGGAAGGAATGATAAATAAAAGAAAGAATATATGAATATGACAACTAACATTACACTATTACTAGTTATAGATATATAATACAATGATATATGTAATATATAGAGTATGAGTGGCCGTGTTGTATCAGCTAGATATACAAACTCAAGGCGTAGCCGAGAGTTTATAGATCGGATACAACACGGACACGAATACTGTATATTACTTATCAAACGTCTAGGTTAGTTCCTTTGTGTTTCACTAAAATTTTCAAAATTAAAGTGAATCTGGCCAAGAAAATCCAACTTAAAGTTTATGCAAATGAACACAATTTTGTTTCAGATTTACAACACTCTTCACGGTCGTGATATCTGTTGTGTTTTCCTCATGAATTATTAACAAGTTTGATAAATATATATACATATACACATACATATACATACATACATACATACATACATACATACATACATACATGATGATGATGATAAATAATCTTTATTGAGGTTATCGCTGTCACCATAAGGTGATTTACAAGAGAGACCTCTAAAATAAATATATAACAAAAAAGAAAAATGAAGACTAAAATATAAATATATAAAAAATAAC